AGCCATGAGAGAGGTCCACGCGAGCGATCCAGCGGCACCACCACCAGAGATCCACATGGGGCCAGCGTGCTGTCAGATCTTCATGGTCGTGGCTCGGCGAGTTCGGGGGAATGCGACGACGACGACGGCGCCGGCAGACAGGCCCCCACCGCCGACGCGCGCTGCGCCACCAAGGCACGCCAGGAGTGCAGCCCAACTTCCGATAGGAGGAGATCCGAACCGTTCGAGGAGTGAGGTCCCTGTCGTGCCACGCTCGCAGCAGCAGAACCAGACGTATAGTTTCAAAGAACAGGTGAAACTTTTCACTCGGTAGGCCCCGCGGGGCCTCTCTGTTTTTTCGCTGATCTGGGTATGCTGTCGTCCTTGTCGTTCTCGGCGTCGTGTCGTTGTTCATCTTTCCGCTTCTCTCGCCCTTCCCGCTCCTGGGCCTCGGCGTTCCTGTCTGCGTGACTTCTATGCACGCCTAGGGTCACGAAATTTCTCCCCCCCCCTCGGGGGGTCCCGCCTCTCTGCTTGCGGAGGGAGGGAGACACGGCGATCGCCTCTCGCGAAGGGATGTGGTCGCCCGCCTTCTCTTGTGCCCCCCTCGGGGCCTCTCCCCGTCGTTGCTGCTTGCTGTGGACCGACCCAGGTCAGCGCCCCGGGTAAACGATCCGCGCGCTGTCAGGAACCAACGCCCAAGACGCGACGACGCGAGGCTGTCGTAGAAGGAAGAGGAGGGGCAGGAGGATAATGGAGGATGGAGGATGCAGTATTGGATGTCGGGAAGGGAGGGAGAGGGGAAGGGAACGGGAGGATCAGGAGTAGGAGGATGACGAGGAAGAACACGAGTAGGAGGAGGAGGGGGAGGAGGAGGAGGAGGAGGAGGAGGAGGAGGAGGAGAGGAGGAGGAGGAGGAGGAGGAGGAGGGAAAGAGGAGGATCGGAGTAAGCGCAGCACACATTATTGCTGATGTACTACGCTCTCTCTTACTAAGCCCCTTCCCCATGATTCTAAACAACTGCGCCTTTGCACCACGGCGAAGCGCCTGCTGGAGACTCTGGACATAGTATGGGCCTACGGCCTGCCACAGGTTCTGGACCAGCGAGGGCTGGAATGATGAGGTTTCTTTGAACTCGCGAGAAGATCAATACTTCGGGCTACGGGGCCAGGAAGAACCGTGTGGTGTTGGCGCCTGAAGTGGCAGAGGCTGGAATGGTGAGCATCCTGACGGTTTTTCAAACGGACTGGCGACTTCTCGACCGCATCGCCTCGCGACCGCATAACCGAATAACGTGTTTGGTTGATGCTTTGAACAAAAGTGCGTTGACGGATTGGCAAAACAGCTTCGAACAGGGAGCATTCCATCCATGTAGCCGTTGGGAGTGTCTGGTTCAGGCGCGATACATGTAAGAACATACGTGGCGAGATCACGGTTTTGACATGACACGCCCCCTGTTCCCAATTTCAAGTTGTAGCGCCATATCGTGAAAGAACACATGGCCAACTTTCCATTTTGAAGCGGGGTTATCCTTTATCCGGGTACTTGTCAGAAAGGCCATTGTCTATGGGCCTATGTTCCAAAGACGTGCCAGGCGATAAAAAAAACATGCTGGACGCGTCATGCCCTCCTCACTGTCAGGGCCACGACTCATACCGATGTCTGCGGGGGTAGTGTGCAGGTCTTGCGAGCGGCCGCTTCCCATACGTGTTTGTCGCAGCTTCCAGGTTTCTTGACCACCAGGTATGACGAGATCTTCGGGCGATGACGAGATGTTCCAAGCGGCTTGTCGTCCCTCTGTGTGCCCGTTGGAGCCTATGGGTGCTCGTGCGACGAGGCCTCAGGAAGTGGAACACGACCTGCCCTCCCTCGGCGCAGCTGTGGGGCCACGTTCACGCAGCGATCTCCGAGCGAGCGGAGTCGCAGCGGACTGCCCAGACCGCCCCTCCGAGACGCCTGGTGGTGCGACGAGCGCGACGTGCAGCAAGGGCGACGGAGTTCATGCTCCTCCTCCTTCTCCTCCTCCTCCTCCTCCTCCTCTGCAGGGCGGACGGGGGCGGCGGTGGATCATGCAGCAGGCACGTCAAATAAGAGGCCGGCCGGCCAGCAGGTGCCCCACGGAAGTCTCGTGAAGTTAACCCCATGGCCCGGGGGGTCCGCAGAGGTTGCTGGGGCACGTTGGGGCCGTGAAGGTGCGGTTGATCATGTGGTCCGAGGTGTCTTGTAGCAGGATTTCTTGTCGTGTAGGTTTTTTGTGTGAGGAAGAGGGGGGGGGCAGGTGGAAGAGCAGCGCGCGGACAACGGGGAGGTGAGTGACCAGGGTGCGACCACTAAGCCCATCGCGATCGCCTCCTTCTCAGCAGCCCTCGTGCAGCGGCCCACGCCGTGGCCCCTGCGGAGGAGGAGGAGAAGGAGGAGGAGGAGCAGGAGGGAGAGGAGGAGGAGGAGCAGGAGGAGGAGGAGGAGGAGGAGGAGGAGGACGAGGTGGGGAGGGAGGAGAGGAGGAGGAGGAGGAGGGAGGAGGAGGAGGAGGAGGAGGAGGCCGCCGCTCCCGCCCCCGCCGCTCTGCGGGCCTCGCCCCGCCGCAGCCGCCTGGCGGCCCCCGGGGCGGCGCGCGGGATGGCTGGGGCCCCCCCCTCGCCGCCGCCGCCGCCCGCGCAGTGGCGGGAGGCGCGCGGGGCGTGCGTCGGTCGAGGGGCCCGGGCCTCCCGCGGCGGGCCGGAGCCAAGGGGTCGGGGCCAGACGCGGTCCGCCAAGGGTGGTGGGCCTGTCTTCCACCACCACCACCAGAAGTTGGAGGGGGAGGGGCTCCTCCTCCTCCTCCTCCTCCTTGTCCTCCACCTCCTCCCCCCCTCCAACTTATGGTGGTGGTGGTGGTGGTGGTGGTTGTGGTGGTGGTGGTGGTGCTGGTGGTGGTGGTGCTGGTGGTGGTGGTGGTGGACAGGCCCATCAAAGGGGGGCGTTCACTCCATGTTCGCCCCTGCTTTCTGCACGTGCTCGCACCCTCTCCTCTCCGCAGCTCATTGCTGAACCTAAACGGCGTTTTTGGTGATTTTGTGGGCCGTTTTCGTTTCGACTTCGTTTTGCGGTAAAGGAGTATTCGAGACAAAAGCGAGGGAAAACGAAAACAAAACGAAAACGAAAAACACCGTTTAGGTTCAGCCCTGCCGCAGCTTTGATTGGGTCAGGCCAGGGCCCGACAAGGGCGACGGTGCCACCTGACTTTGCAGGCATGGCGTTTGCGGAAGTATCCATCTCTATCTCACAGGTAGGGGAACAAGCAATGACAGAAACATAACACTCGGACGTCCGCGCGGATTTCTCGGATCAGCGCTGGACCTCCCTCCCTGGCGCGCGGAGCGCGCCAGGGGCGGCGCCAGAGGCGCCGCCAGGGGGCCCCAGCGCCGATCCGAGAAATCCGCGCAGACCCCCGAGTTTTTAGGTTTCTGTCATTGTTGGTTCCCCTAGATAGGGACGAATAGCTCAGGGGGGGAGCAATGCATGCATCCGGAGCCTCCGATCGCCCGTGTCTTCGAAGAGGCTTCCGGGCGGATTTGCGCGACGCCCACCCCTGGTATCTGTCCGCCCCCATCGCCCGCCCCGAAGGGGGGTCGGATGATCGGGTGGAGGCGCCGACGCGTCGGCGGCGCGGAGCGATCCGGAGTCGCCAGCGTCGCCAGAGCCTCGGCGATACATCGGTGATGCAGCGCGGTCCTCCGACCCCGTCCGCTCGGACCCAGTTTGGGAGGCCTCCAAGGGGGGGGAGAACGTAGAGCGTATGTGTGTGTGTGTGTGCACATATTTCTTGCTCCACCTCTCGGGAGCAGACGGTGTCAGAGAATGTTTTGCCCAGCTTGGGAGGCCTACAAGAGGAAGCCCGTGCTGGATGCCGATGACACGGGGGAAACCTGTAGAGCGTATGTCTGCGTGTGCGCGCACCCATCTGGGAGGCCTCGAAACACCAGTCCCAGGGAACGGGTCCAGACCGCTGGGCGCCAGCGCTACGAAAAAGTCATGGCGTCGGGGGTCTGGTTTGGCAGCACCCCCGACTCAGCTAAGGCAGTGGCCGCCATACGATCGACAGCACGTGGGACCCGAAGCAGACGCCAGGTGCGCCGCATTCGCGAGGTGCGCCGCGCATCGCGCCAGGCGCCTCTGGCGCGCTGCGGGCAGGTCCTCGCCTTCGGCGGAGGCTGCGGAAGTAAAAAACCGGCGGGGCCGCGGGCGGAGGGGCCCGCGGGCGGCCGGCGGAAGGGCGGCGGAAGCGAACGCGACGGCGGAAGTGTAGACGCGTGACGCCAGCACTTTCGGACCCAGGGGCTCCTGGGTCCGAGCGTGCTTGCATCGGGCCTGGCAGGCTGGTGTGAGGCTGCGTGTAAGTAATCGGCAGTCGGGGTGCAGAGATCAAGTGCTCTGCGGAGAAGACAGCTTTTTGGACCCGGGTGCTCCGGAGCTGGGGCCACATCATAGATCTACACGCGCCCTCTCCTCCGACGGTGCAGTTCTTTGTTCGATGTGGGCCCTCCCTGGATCCCTGCCCTGGGGACGGTCCGGGATACGGCCCCCGAGGCCGAAAACGTAAAAACAGCGGCCATCGCGATGTTTGCGTCGCCCCGATCTGAGGGGATGCTCGCGTGTTTGACCTCGCCGAACCCAGACATCCGACGATGCTTTTTCGCCTGCTTCAGCGCGTGGCCCCAGAGGTTCCGACCACTTCCCCCGGGGACAGCTCTCCGTTGGCGATCCACTCGGGGTGGTCCCGGGGCCCGATGGAGGGAGCGCCGAAGCCGGCGAGACACGCACGCCCAGAGATCACGGCTCCTCCTCCTCCTCCTCCTCCTCCTCCTCCTCCTCCTCCTCCTGCAGGGGGGCCTCCCCGGCCCAAGCCCACCCGCGCGTCGCGGGCGCCGCCGCCGGGTCCGCGGCGCGCGGCGCCCCCCGGCGGCGGCGGCGGCGCCGAGAGGCTGCCGCCGCGGCGGCCGCCGGGGCGCCTCGGAGCGCCCGCGGCCGCCTGCAGCAGGCGCCGCCGCGCCGATGCCGCGGCGAGCGCGGCGGGCGGCGGCCGCTGCCGCGCTGGGCGGCGCGCTGGCGGGCGGCGCGGGCGGGCCGAGGGCGGAGGTCTGCAGCTACGAGGTGGAGCTGGCGGGCGGAGGCCGGGAGACAAGAGGGCAAGCGGGTCCGCGGTGCGAGGTCGAGGTCGCTTCGGGGGGGGGGGGACCCCTGAAGTTCGGGGGTGGACAGACCTCCTACCCTGACACGTCGATTAGTGAATTGTCCGTTTTCGGTTCTCGAGAGGGCGCCGCGGCCGTCATTTTCCAGGCTTGCGCCTGCCAGGTTTGGGCCCGAGGTCGGTTTCACTACACCACGTTTTACAAAAAAGGAGGTCTGTACATCCCCGAGTAGTTCTCTTCGTGTTTGGGCTGGATGTTCTTGCGCATCCTGGGGAGGGGTCCCTGGGGGTGTTCTGCTCGTTTTGGCCGACGGAGGGTCTCATGTTCGTTGGGGGTGTGCTTCTGGCCTGGGTCCGACTGAATCGTCAGAGATGTGGGGTCGTGCAGTGGAAACCCATTCCAAGAGACACCCTGCTTGCCTCCAGGGTGCCCTGGGTTTCTTGGGTGTCGATGGTTTTGCGATGGAAAGAGCGCGACGCTCCCACACCAAAATCAATGGACGTCCTGGGGTCTCAGGGTTGGGTTTCTTGTGGAAGGTTTCTTGTGGTCGAGCTCCTACTGTACCATAGGGCGGCAGGGTCTTCGGCAGTCTGCGAGGCTCGAAGTTTTAGTAGACCCGCGGCAGGCGTTGACTTCTCACACATTGCACAATGAGCACGCCGCAGGCGCCGCATTTCCTCAGAACAACGCGGGAGCGTCGCGGGTGGGTCGCGAAGGGGTCGCGGGTGGGTCGCGGGGTGTTCGGGGGGTGGGGTCGCGAGCAGGAAGACGTCCACAAGGCAGGGCAACAACGAGAACCCTCGCCGCACGCACCCAGGGATGAAGTAAGACCGTTCGGCCCCCGCACTCTTACACAAGCGTCAGCTTTCGCAGGTCCGCGCGGATCTCTTGGATCGGCGCGGGATGCGCTTTCGGACAACCGCTGAGCAGGACCAGATCCTTTTGGAGGTCCGCGCGGATTTCTGGGATCGGCGCGGGATGAGCTTTTCGGACAAAAGCTGAGCAGGACCAGAGTTGGTTTGGAGATCCGCGCGGATCTCTTGCACCGGCGCGGGACGACCTTGTTGGACAACAGCCGAGCAGGACCGACCCTAATCACCCTAAGCCCTAGAACCTTTCGGATGCCCGCGCGGAACTACTTGGATCGGCGCGGGATGAGCTCTCGGTTCAGCAGCTAGGGGGCCACATGCGAACCCTACCCCTACCCCCCACGATTTCCGAGGGGGAGGGTGGGGTTCACTTCGCTCGGGAGCTCCCGAACGAAGTGAACCCCACCCTCCCCCTCATAAATCGTGGGGGGTAGGGGTAGGGTTCGCATGTGGCCCCCTAAGAGCAGGTTTGGAGGTCCGCGCGGATCTCTCGCGTCGGCGCTGGGCCCCCCAGCCACCCCCCCGGCAGCGCCTCGCCCCCGGCGCGCTCCGTGCTCTAGGGCGGGGGGCCCGGCGCCGAGCAAAGAGACTGGCTCTGAGTCGGGCGTGTCCCCCTACAGAGGGATTTTCGACGAAAAGTTAAAGATAACCCAACAATGGCCCAAGAAGGTAAAAAAATACTACAAATATAGTCCCCAGACTATTTGTTTGATTATGTTTGGGGTATTTTTTCATTTTTCATCGAAAATCCCCCGTGTAGGGGGACAGGCCCGACTTACAACTAGCTCTGAGTCGGGTATGCCCCTCTACAGGAGGAGTATTCATTAATAGGCAACGGATATTTACATGCATGCACGTATGCATGTATGTAAATATGTGCCTGTATGTATGTCTGCCTGTGTGGCTGTCTGTCTGCCTTTATGCATGCATGTAGGTATGCGGGTACACATGTGTATGTATGCATGGTATGTAAACATGCATGCATGCATGCATGCATGCATGTATGAATGTATGCATGCATGAATGCATGCATGCATGCATGTATGTATGTATGTATGTATGTATGTATGTATGTATGTATGTGTGTGTGTGTGTTTGTACGTGTATGCGTATGTGTATATGTATGTATGTAGGTCTGTGTAGGTGAAGGTGTATGTGTAGGTGTAGTTGCATATGCATGTGTATGTGTATGTGTATGTGTACGTGTGTCTGTATGCATGTACGTGTGTATGTGTATGTATGCACGCATGAATGTATGTATGTGTGCATGTATGCATTTGCACATATATGTATATATGCGTGTGTATATGTATGCATGTATGTATGTAGGTATGTACACATTTATATGTGCTCGTATGTATGTACATATGTATGTCTGTGTGTATGTATGCATGTCTGTACGTATGCCTGCAGGCATGTCGGTATGTGTGTAGGTCTGTACGTATGTATGTATGTAGGTGTACGTGCATGCATACATGCATGCATGCATGCAGTCATGCATGCATGCAACTACATATATATATGTATGTATGTCTGTACGTTTTTTAAATGTGTGTATGTGTCGCGCGCGTCGTCGCGCGCGCGTGCCGAACTTGTTCGACCATGTTAGGTGCTGTGAGTATGGCAAGGTCGAGGTCCCGAAACCATTCGACCACGTTGATTCGAACGGCTGTTTTAGCCGTTACCCGAGACGTACCCAGCCCCTTATCTACGCGAGGCGAATATTTGCCTGAACGCTCCGTACGAGCCTGCGGAAGTGACGACTATTGGGCACATCGTAGCTTCCCAGGGAGCAGCTGGGTCTCGGCTGGATCCGCGTGGTCCCCGGTTCCGCTGGACCTCCCAGGAGCCAACGAAAGTCTGGTCTGGGTGAGCGTGGCCCCCGGCTCCGCTGGACCTCCTAGGAGCTCACCGAACTGGTGACACTTGCGCAGGGCGCAGCCGACCAGGGAACAGCGAGGTCTGGAACAGCGAAGTCTCGTCTGGGTGCGCGTGGCCCCCGACTCCGCTGGACCTCCCAGGAACCCACGATTGTGGCGCCAGTTGCGCAGTTCGCAGCCACCTATGGAGGAGCGAGGTCTCGTCTGGGTGCGCGTGGCCCCCGACTCCGCTGGATCTCCCAGAAGCCCACGAAAGCGGCGACGGTTGCGCAGCTCGCAGCCACCCATGGAACAGCGAGGTCTCGCCTGGGTGCGCGTGGCTCCCGACTCCGATGGACCTCCCAGGAATTCGCGGCAGTGGAGACAATGCCGCATTTCGCAACCACCCAGGGAGCGGCGAAGCCTCCTCTGGGTTCGCGTTGCCGTCGACTCCGCCGTGCTTGCCAGGAGCCCAAGTAAGTGGCGACAGTTTCTATGTGTGCAGCCCCCCAGGGAGCTGCGAGGTCTCGGCTGGATCCGTTTCCTCCGCGACTCCGCCGTGCCTCCCAGGAGCCCACGAAAGGGGCGACAGTTGCCGGTTCGCAGCCCCCCCAGGGAGCTGTGAGGTCTAGCCTGGGTCCGCTTACTTCCCGACTCCACCGTGCCTCCTGGGAGCCCGCGACAGCGGCGAGAGTTGCGGAGTTCGCAGCCCCCCATTGAGCTGCGAGGTCTCGGCTGGGTCCGTGTACTCGCCGACTCTTGTGGGCCTCCCAGGAGCCCACGAAAGTGGCGGCAGTTGCCGGTTCGCGCCCCCCCAGGGAGCTGCGAGATCTCGGCTGGATCCGTCGACTCGCCATCATCATCATCATCATCATCATCATCATCATCATCATCATCATCATCATCATCATCATCATCATCATCATCATCATCATCAACATCAACATCAACATCAACATCACCACCATCATCATCATCATCATCGTCGTCGTCATCATCATCATCGTCACCATCATCATCATCATCATCATCATCATCATCATCATCATCATCATCACAATCACCATCATCATCATAACTATCACCATCATCACCATCAGCATCATCATCATCATCATCATCATCATCTTCATCATCACCATCACCATCCATCATCACCATCTACTCGTCATCATTACCACTCACCACCATCATTATCGTCATCGTGATCGTCATCGTCATCGTCATCACCATCATTCTTATTATCATCATCACCATCGCTATCTTTGTTATTATTATAATGATCATCATCAGCACCATAGTCAGCAACGTCATCATCATCGTTATCCGCATCACTACTAGCACCAATCCTCTCGATGATCCTCATCCTCGTGATCGCCATCACGATCATCACTTCTCACGCGCGGGCGATTATGCAACACATGAGACAAAGTTCACGCGCGCCTGTCGGCCCTGCGCGCATGTCGGCATCCTTCCACCACAGTTTTCTTGACCGACGCGTGGACACCATCATCGTGACCGGCGTGATCAGCATCGACGTCGTCATTGCTCTTGCCGTCAGCATCGTCACCATCGCCACGAGCATCGCTTCTACAATGATCCTGTATGCCCTTGTCAGCGTTGCCATGATACTGCACCCGCCCGAGTCACCGTCTCGCATTGATGTACCCGCGCGTCAGCGCGGCTTGCGTGACGCGCTGGGAAGTTCCGAACGGTCAGCGCCACCGCGGCCGCGTCGGTCGCGCCTAGCTAGCTGGCCGCTGTTCGCACGAGTCTGCGCGCGAACATGCGCAGCCTCAGCGATGCGCCAGCCAGCGTCAAGCACTCATCGCAGGCGCCGCCGCGTGGAATTGGCAAACCAAGTTGAGCGCGAGTGGGTGGGATGATTGCGCGAACAGTGGAGTTGACGCCTCCTTGCGATCAACAAGTACTTCCCTTTTTCCAAGAAGGAATCCGGATCGATCGTTCTAAAACGGGACGACGTGCACACACGCGCGTTGCCTCGCGCGCGTGTGTCAAAATTTTTCAACAACCTCAGAGGGCGTAAGGATTCCAAAATCGACTGCCCCGAAACATATGATAAGTGCATGGTTTCGTAAGGCGACTTGTCAAAACAATTCC